ATTCCACCAAGAGGGAACATTTAATTTAAAAGTCCGTAAAAGTGATTTTGTGCTTCTTTGGTATGTAAATTTTTCATACATTTTTTGTACATTTTTCTTTATTTCTTGTAATAGTGATTGTATATATCACACATGTGACTATTTCTCGAAATAGCAACTGAAAGTCTCACAATGGAGATTATGTCTTGTAATAGCGATTGTATGTCTCACAATTGTGAAGTTGTATATCTCACAACTGTAACTATTTCTTGTAGTAGTGACTGTATCTCAAAATTCTGACTATTTCTCATAATAGCGATTGCATCTCACCATTGCAACTATTTCTCGTAATTGTGACTGTGTATCTTACAATTGTGACTTAGTATCTCACAACTGCAAACATCATATCTCACAACTGCGACTGTATATCTCACAATTTAAACTTTTTGTCAAAAGCGATTGTATATCACACAACTGCTATCTGTGACTTCATACCTCACAATTGTGACTATTTCTCTTAATTGCACCTGTATATCTCATAACTGTGACGGTTTCCCGTAATTGCAACTGTATATTTTTTTATAAAACTGTATGCTTTTGTTGATACTGCAACTGTATATCTCACAATTACAACTAATTCTTAAAATTGCAGCTTTATATCGCTTATTTATTTATTGTTTGTCATTTACAGCATTTTATTCACAAAAATACAATGATTGGGAAAGGTTTTGATACAGGTTAACTGCTCACCTCTATTTGACCCTGGCGGGCATATGACGGATGATTCTTGAGAATCTTAATGGCCACGATCTCATTAGTTCCACGCTTCCAGCATTTCGCGACCTGTCCGAATGTTCCCCGGCCGAGGAACTCCAGCACCTCGTAGCTGTTGGAGACAGAGCAGAGGATCTCATGCTGCACCAGCTGGTAGTCGCCCTCACTGTGGGAGTTGCTGCTTTTGGTGGTGGACGTGGAATGAGCGATGGACTGAGCTGTGGCATTGCCTCCACCTCCGGCCACACGGTTGGGGAGCACAGGAGCTGACAGCTCCTCCAAAATCTGCACGCTGTCGCTGCTGTCCACCTCCTCACTTTTCCGCTTCAGACTGCCCTGTTTCTGATAGCCCTCACATGTCAGAGAGGTGGAGCCTGTATCTTTTCCACGCTGACTGGATGTGGATGATGA